GTTAGATCTAACCGTGGTGATGAATACTATGGCAGATATAACGGTTCAGGTGAACAACGTCCATGTCCATTTACTAAATTCTTAGAGAAATGCGGTATCGTTCTACAATACACTATGCCGGGTTCGCCCACTATGAATGATGTTGCTGAAAAATGAAATAGAACCTTTAAGGACATTGTGAGTAGTATGATTACTCTAGGGTGAAGCACGAAAGATCGCAGCGTATATATTCAACAGAGTTCCAACAAAGGTCACTGATAAAACCTCTTATGAGTTTTGGACGGGTAAGATACCTAGTCTGAAGCACGTATACATTTGGGGATGTCCAGCACGGGCAAGGCCTTATAGGCCACATGAAAGGAAACTGAACGCAAGGACTATCAATTGCTATTTTATTGGATATTCTGAAAGGTCCAAGGGTTACAAGTTTTATGATCCCACAACTAAGGTAATTTTCAAGACAGGAAATGTCTAATTCTTTGGGGATGTTGAGTTTGCAGGGGAAGAAAGGGTTACAAACTGTCTTTGAGGAAGACTATGTTGAAATTCCTCCAATTGCCATTGACAATTATCAGGATCAGGTTTCTATCACTGGATTGTTCAAAAAACAACTTCGAATCAAGATAATGTCGTTGTATCTCCATCTGAAGAACAACAAACTCTACAGCCTCAAGATCCAATACCATTAAGAAGATCTATTAGAGAGAGGAGAAGTGCGGTTTCAGATGATTATATTATATTTCTCCAAAAACATGAAGTTGACATTAGAGTGGTAGAAGATGATCCAATCAACTTTCGTCAAGCCATGAAAAGTTCTATCTCTCAAAAGTAGCTCGATGCCATGAATGAAGAGATAAAGTCTATAAAGGACAACGACGAGTGAGACCTCGTTCCATTGCCTAAAGGTGCGAAACACATTGGTTGGAAAATGGATATTTAAGACCAAGAGAGATCCGAAAGGTAATGTGGAGAGGTATAAAGCTCGTTTTGTGGTAAAGGGCTTTATACAGAAAGAAGACATCGTTTATAAAGAGATTTTTTTTTCGGTTTCTTCGAAAGACACTTTTAGGATTATAATGACATTGGTTGCACATTTCGATCTTGAGTTATATCAGATTGATGTTAAGACAACGTTTCTCAATGGTAACATTGATGAAACAATTTATATAGTGCAACTAGAAAACTTTGTGTCGG